AATAACACATGAATAACACACAATAACACATGAATAACACGGGGAGGAACATTCCCCGTGTTACTGCGCCGTTTTTTTTTTCTGCGTTGCGCGGGGTATCGTGGCGTGGTTTCATTGGGTACGCACGTTACTCTACATGCGTAGTACTGATGTAATATTTTTTCCAATAAAGTGTAGTGACCCCATGCTGGCAGTTTGTCTACATACATTTAGTCCAACATAAACAGACCAAACAAAATTGAATCCCCTTCAAAAAAAGGTATAGACATCCAACCAGTCCAAAAATCTATATTTTGATAATATAAGGAGAAAGCAATACTAGTACAGGTATAATACTATGAAATTATTTTTCATAAAAGGTCAACTCATTATAGCGGACAACTGGAAAGAAGCAACGGCACTGCATTACACAAGGTGTCCTAAACATTTTGTTCCGATAAAAACAACCACTTAACCAAAAACCACTCACAATATATATGTCATAACACTAACTGAATTACAATCCGCATTCAAATCATGAATAAGAAAAATGTGTGTGAAATCAACAAAATAATTAGCGACAAAAACTTAGTGGGCCTTTATGTTCAGAAATACTTAGATCACCAATAAACTATCCGAAATCAAGAAATAACGCTGCATGCACCAACCTCATCAAAGAACAGTGGAAATCTCATGCAATGGATAAGTCATTTTCGATTTACAGAAGATATGGAGTGCTTCAATAAAGAGAATTGAGTAGGTAAATAAATCTGTCCAAACCTCGTCGATAGTCAGAGTTCTACGATTACGATGAAGGAACAAGTTGGATTTAATACGAGTCCACGTGGTTCGAATGGCAGCTGCAACATAAGAGCAATAAAAACTTGAAGTAGAGCTAGATGTTCAGCATATGGTATATGAAAAATGAATACAAAAACACTCATAAAACTAAAAAATAATTGAACTTCTTAACACATTAAGTCTCCGTGTACAGCCATAGTTACTGGAAAAATAAATAAAAAGTATACCTGGTCTTAGTGGTGCAGGTTCCCCATAACTAAATGGTACTGTAGAGCAATAGTCCTCAACTGAGATCCCGAGATCATTATTAATGTCATCATCTGTTTTCTCTTGCGGTATTGCACAGTCAGCAAAAGCTTCATCGACATTGTCTTTACAAGTCCTAGTAAATAAACTCAGATATCAGTTTAAAGATCAAACAATTGCATTAATTCCCTAGTTCCATTGCATTGCTAAGTGTCTATAAGGAGTTCTCTCATAAATAGAAGAAAAAAATTTTGATGGTGTATTTTTTTCCTCCTATATATGACAAAACTCTAAATAGGCACTATCCAATGCAATGGAATCAGGACACGAGTGAAGTGTCAGCTATCCTATAATAATGCTGAGATTTGCATACTAAATTTTGCAGCAAATGGCAGGTAGCAACATAAGGTTGTCTATTTTTACACCATAAATATATCAAGACAAAAAGAAATTTACCAAGATTGTTTTACTAGAGTAAACAATGAATGAGCAGTTTTCCTACTTTATTCCATGTATATAAGCCCTATGACATACTAAAAAGAACAATTAATCTAACAAAGAAAATAAGAAGAACAATATTTTTTTAGAAGTTGGATGTCTTTAGATTTTAAGTTCGCTGGTGTGGATAAATAAAACAACATCCAATATGCACACAAAATTTCAAAGTCACACTTTTAATACGATAAAGAACTTCAAACAAGATAAATCAATCCACAAAGCCAAAGTGATCGTAGTTCAGTGACAAGAGGTCATTGGAGGCCACAACTATTTTAAACAAGGACAGCATTCAAACCTTTTTTAACAGACATTTACATAACTCTGAATTCTCTCCCTCTTTATAATTAGAATCAATTTACAAGTCGTTTTATCTTCGTATGGACAAGAGTGTATTTAAATTTGAATTTTGTAGATAATTAGATAAGATTAAATTTGGATTTAAATGTTTGGCCGCACCCTAGTCTCTATTTCCACAAATAAGGACCAATGAAATGTGTAGGTTATAAGAATTGAGCAAGATAATCTTATTGATATCAAAAGGGGTATAAACACAGAATAAACGATATATAAATTAGCACAGACATAAAACTCAAATATCTATGATTAAATTAATTCCTAATAACTACCTAGACATAAGAATGGAATACTCAAATCATGGGAGAAACCCCAAGTCAGCCATACGGGAGAGATCCCAAGTCTTCCATTTCAAAAGATGTGGTGAGAATGTCTTCGAGAGACTCTAAGGCTGGCAATCATTACTTGTGAGCACAATGACGACGACATAGACATGAGAATGGCAACACGGCCACTGGATGAATGTTGAAAAAATAGTGTATGATCAAATTGGGCTTGAGAGAGCCCATGACCAACCACCAACTACGTGAACTTGTCAAACTAAACCCATGTGGATTGCTTAAGTCTATAGAGGGACTTTCGCAATCGACAAACTAGTCCACAGGAAGCAGACGAGTCAAATCCCGATGGTAGACACATATAAACCTCCTCAGGGAGATCGCCGTTAAGAAAAGCATTCTTGACGTTCAGCTAAAGTAAGGGACAATCCAGAAGCACGACTAGTGATAATAGGACCTGAACGGTATTTAGTTTGGCAACCGGAACAAATGTCTCTTCATACTCAACTATGTTTAATAATATTATTTAAGGATTGACTTGTATCTTGTTGCTTTCAAAGGAACCACCCAAGTTAAACTTGGTGTTGAAGATCCACCGACAATCCACAACTTTCTTCCCCCAAGGAAGATCGACTCGATCCAAAGTATGGTTGTGTCAAAAAGCATTCATCTCATCCATAACAGCAACCTTCCAGGACATGTCTGCCAATGCAGCTTTTATGGTGGATGAGAGATCGATCCGTCACAGAAGTAGCAAATACTTTGTAGGTTAGAGAGAAATTGTGGAACGAGACGTGATTCATCATATGATACAAAGTTTCTGAAAGAACATTTCAGTGATATCAGCCGGAGCGGATTCCAAGGCCTACAGCAGAGCAGTGGGCTCGACGATGGAGGCATTGGGACGAGTTTCAATAGAAGATTTCGAAAGAGGGGTATAGACTTGTATAGAGGGTAGTGGTGATGTTAGCATGCCTGGTGGTGAATCCATCAATGTTGAAGGAGGAGCAGTGGTTGTAAGAGAAATATCTAAAGGAGTCGAAAGAGGAACAGTTTCCAAAAAATCAAGCTCCCCTTCACTTAAGATAGTTTTAGAGAAGGAGACATTAAAAAAAAAAAAAAAGAAGACGTCAACACTAACATAAATTTTATTAGTAAAAAAAAAAAAAAGACGTCAACACTAACATAAATTTTATTAGTAAAAAAAAAAAAAAGACGTCAACACTAACATAAATTTTATTAGTGATAGGACCCAAAAATCAGTAGCCTTTTAAAGCGGCGAAATAGCCAAGGAAGACAAATTTACTTGAGCAAGCTTACCATGAGTTGGGTCTGTGTTCTGGACAAAGGTCGTGCACCCAAATATTTTGTGGTCTATTCTGAAGGATAGGTTTGTAGGAAATTAAGTCGTCAAGACGGGATAATGGGGTTCAAAAATTGTAAATTTTTATGGGAACTCTATTGATGAGGTAATTGACGGCGAGGATGGCATCATTCCAAAACCATTTATGGACATTGGTTTGAAAAATAATTGAACGAACAACTTCCAAAAGATGTCTATTTTTGCTCGGCTACCCCATTTTGTTAAGGGGTATCTGCACGGGAATTACGATGGCGGGTGTCCTTACTCACCAAGAATTCTTCCAATATAGAGTTAAAGTATTCACGACTATTGTCCGTCCAAAAGTGTCAAGACATCCGAGTGTGGTCACCATTAAAACTAAGAAACCACCTTTTATTTGTAAAATTCACAGTTCCAAAGGGTCCCATAAATCACTATGAATAAGTGAAAAAAGAGAAAAAGAAGTGTAAGGATGAGGTGGATATGACACCCGTTGATATTTAGCTAATTGACAAATTTCACATTTAAAATAATATGAATTTTTATCAGTAAATATCAAGATGTACAAATGTTTTAAATAATGAAACTAGGATGACCCAAATGACAATATAAAAGCATAATAGAAAAATCAGGTGTCACGAACAGTAATCCATAGTACACTTGGAGACAGAAGAAAAATGTACAAACAACCAATCGAGGTCTCCGTGAAATTAATCAGCTATGACATGACTGTGGAGTTTTTCACTTCCCATGTTTCATATGTTGGGTCAGTCTTCGAAAGATCAAAATAACCTATGAGGGCCAAATTTACCCCGACGTTTAACAAACAACGAAACAACCTTAGATCATTGAAGGAAATTATAGTCGTTGAGCTTGTGGGTGTTAACGAGAAAATTCATGTGGTTTACAGGTGCTCCGAGCCGCAGAAGAATTGGAGTAGATGTCTGTCCTCCGAAAGAATTAAGAATAGCGTCGGACAGAAGCTCGGTGGTGGAGGAATCAACCACAGCTCTGATAGAGCCAAAGGAGAGATTTGGATGTCAAGACATGATACCAGGTTTTCCGACCGAGAGAGGGTCTTACAAGAAAACGGTCACATAGGTGTTGGAAGATCTGCAGGGAAGATCTCGTGAGAAGGGAGGCTTGCAGAGAAAAAAATACTCACGAGAAACGAAAGATCTGCAGGGATCTCATGGGAAGGGGCCTCTCACAAAAGAAGGAAAACATGAAGGGTCTTGCAGAAAGATCACACAGGAATAAATTATGGCTGAGGGAAGGGACCTGCAAGGAAAATCTCACGAGAAGGGCTGCATGCAGGGAAAAAACTCACGCGAAAAAAAATCTGGCTAAAAGAAGGATTTTCATGCAGAAGGGCTTGCAAGGAAAGATTTCCAGTTACAAGGAAGGGTTTTGCGGCCGACTAGGGTAGAGTCGTTTGCTTTGATACTATGTAAATTTAGGGAATTGAGCGGCATAATTTTATTGATATCAAAAGGGGTATAAATACAAGATACAAGGGTTATAAAATAGGAAAAACATAACACTCAAATCTCTAGGATTAAATTAATTCTTAACAGCCTAGAGATAAAGGAAAGTCATTATTTAGGAAATACAAAAATAAGGAAATACATAAACTATAAAATATTCAAAAAAGAAAGAAATAAACACTAATACCTTCTAACAATATGTAATTGATTATTGACTAACAACTAAATCAATTCAATTTGTTTGTGATGTATTCAATACTCTCTTCATCCACAATATGTACCCAGATAGTGTAACAATTCAAAGAATTAAGAAATTAATTAAGAAGTGTTAATAATAATATTGATAATTAATATAAAAAAATCTAAGAGCAACTTTCAAATTTAATCAAGTTGCCAAAATTAAGTTAATTAAAAAATGGATTTTCAAAATAAATGAGTAATTAACAAATCAAGAAAAAAAACCATTAAGATGTTTAGTGTAGATATTTTGAATCGAGAAAAAATAATTGCTCAATAATAAAATGTTGTAAATAATATGAATATTTTTTAAAGTACAATGATCATACTTGCAAGTAAAAAAAAAGAACTTATAAAAATAATGGTTGGCATAAACATTAGATATAACCAATAAACTCAACAATTGACTTAATTGTTTTAGTAGTGTTATTTAGTGGCTAAATAAAAGAGCGAACAGGTAAGTGAGATAAAAAACAATCAAATGAGAGAGGAAAAAAATGAATGAGATTGAGTGAGCAGAGATTTAGGGCCCGCACAAGTGAAGGTGAAAGCAAATAAGAGCTTAAGAACAAACAAGCTCAAGAAAAAGAGCGAACCAGCTAGCAAATAAGGCAATGGTACCAAGCCAAGCGCAAGTAGGTTAGGCAACATGCTCAACCAGGCATGAGCAAGTCGAGTTAGAGCAAACTTAGTCGGGCAATCAAGAAAATGATAATTGAGCCAAGTGGAGCAAAGGCTAATACCGAAGTTAACCAAAACCACAATAGAAATGCAAGTATTATTGTTAAAACTCCAATAGGTTACAAATACGACTCTTCAAAATAGAAAATAAATGACAACAAAAATTAAAAAAAACACGTTAGAGCGATGTCTAAGGGGGTGGGCGGCAGCTAGCAAGCGGGTGGATATGCTAATAGAAGGTGGTGTTGACAACAGAGTGTCTCTGGAAGTTCTTTTCGGCAACAAGTAGAAGACAAGGGAAAGTTGGCGTGGTTGTCAAAGAGGTGGAAGGGGTTGGCAGCAGCCTAGATGGATTGGAGAGAAGGGAGGCAGCTGGAGATATGGAAGGGGAAGCGGTAAAGACAGGTGAGTCATGAAAACAAATTGCAACAGCAAAAGGGTTGGGTTTACTGCTAATGGCAGGGGGGTTGGTCAATTTGGGAGTGTTAACGGGAGAGGAGGTTGCAAGTGGGAGGTGTAGCTAGGTCTAACTGGAAGGGGGTGGAGAGAAATGAAATATTACTCCAATTTATAATTTCACTCCAAAAGAAGAAGGAAAGGCATATTCAACAAGAATTTGATTTGAAATAAAATTAAATGAGTTTTGCACACTAATTATCAAAACCTAGTAGAATCCCCCCTCAATCAATTCCAAAAGAAAAATAAATTAGTAGAGGAATTGGTTCCCAATGTTACCAAACGCCCAATTAAACAAGTACGCCTGCTTCCAATACCAGCAGAAAAGCTCGCCATTAACAATAGCAATAATAAAAGATTCAACCATCACAAACAATAAAAGATGCCTCAGTCGTAAAGTCATAAGAATTTCCGCAAATATTGTAGCAGCAAGCCACTAATCCAAATGAATACAACTAAAGGTCTTTGAAGGGTTCTAAATTTGAAACATCACAACCAATAGATAAGCAATTATACAGAGAAGCTTGTGAAAGAATCACAAGAAGAGAAGAATAAAGAAGCCCTCAGAGTAGGAAGGTTGCCGAAAGAGAAGGATTTTGCATCAGTTTCATCGAGCTTAAGGAAATTCGACTTCGGATAATTGTTCAATTAATTTTCATCAAGCCGGTATGGGCAAAATTGGCATCCTATAGAGAAATCCATGAATCATCACCAGCAGATCCATCTTTCCAGTTTATTTTGTATCTTTGGAATCCACCATCAATAGTGAATGTAATTCATCGTCAACAATAGCTTTAGAAAGAGGATAAGTATGGTTATTTCGAAGACATGCATATTATATGTTGAATATGATCTTAATTAAAATTTATAAAAGCTTTTTAATTCTTAACTAAACATATTAAACTTTTGCATAAAATATTGAAAAGGAAAATCAAGCATGAATAAAAGAGCATTGCCATGAAAAGTTGCTTACCATTTGTTTTTCTCAATGACATGCACAAGTTCATCTGGCACGCAACGCCACTTTTGGCAATCATCACAAAGAGCCCAAGCTTTTTTGCCTGAAAGTGAAGACTGGCCCAATAAGACATTATATAGTTCTCTTGCTGACAGCTCCCCACTGGCTGGTGTTGCAACATCATTTAATACATCCTTTAGCAGAGCATCAGCTGCAGCTGCTTCACCTGCAGCTGCTTGAAGTGTAAGTAGACGACAGGATGATGAAAAATCACAAGATGCAGTTTTGCTAGAAAGAAAGGATATCAGTGACAATAGTACATGTGATTACATACAATAAAAGAGGAAAGAAACTTATGATCAATAAACAAATTCACCAGGCAATTGAGCTCCAAGTAGTGACGAGTTGTTGGCCGTTTCTCTAGAGAATCCCAAGTCATCATTTTCTTTTCGAAAAAGATTATCCATCCTAAATTTGTCACATTTCCGTATAGTTTCTTTCTGTTGGCCATAGATAAATTTCCTTCTTTGCCTTATTGAATATGTGCGGCTTGATTTGTTTTTGTACAGCCTCTTTTTGATACTTCTCTGATCTTGGCATTCCTTAACATAATCAAAAGGTAAAATTGCTTTGAATTGTTCAGTATCATCATTCTGCAAAAAACTTCCAGTGATTTCTGATTTGTTTTGTATTTCCAGCCGATGATTGAAGTTATCCAAGTCAGCCGATTCATAAACAGAGGAATCTAAGAAAAGCCTCTCTGATTTTGACCCACTTTTACAGTGCTTTCTAATATATTTTGAACATTTTCCTCCTTTCTTGCATGCTCTGTTATCCTTGCCACAGCAGTTCATTTTCAATGAGTACTGTTTAACCTCATTTGACTTCTCCAGGCAATCTGACCTTTCCTCGACACAAGAAGGATCGGATAATAGAAATGCACCTGTCTTTTTCCCTTTATTTTTTTTAGTCACTTTGTTTTCTCTCTCCCTTTTCTTCTCTTTCATTTTTTTCTTTCCCTTCTGACTTCTCTTGGGATTCCTGCTTCGATTCTCGAGTGCTACAAATGGTTTGATAAAATTTAGCTCAGCAGAAGGCAAGCCATCTTCTGCCTTCGGTTCCTGAATTTTACTGCTCTGATGAAGCACAGACTCTAATTTAATAAAAGTAGAACACTCACCTGTAAGGATATCACAATCTCTGAGAGGATTACAAACATCAGAACCAGGAGAGTGATCAGCATTTGATTTTTGCTTATCATCTACAGTTTCTGCAACGAACTCAAGTTCTACTCGAGGTGAAACTCCATGGCATTCTGATAGCAGATTGTCAGCGGATATTTCTTGTGTCAAAGTGCTCTCCAAGTCTTTTTCTCCCTGCTGTCCCTCTCTCACGTTTGAACCAACTACAGAATACCATTTTTCTACATAGTTTTCGTCTAATTCTACTTTTGTGCTAGAAGTTTCAGAAGTAGTATGGCAATTAGAAGTTCCCATGAAATGCTCTATACCATTTTTGATAGAAGCTTGTGTATCATGCATAATTAGTGGAATAGATTCACAGGATGAAGAATATACTTTACTTGAAGATAATCGGGACTGTTTATTTTTTAGAGCAGTTTTTCTTTTCCTTCTATTGGCACCGGATCCTGCTTTAGTTGACCTTCGTTTCTTAGCGGCATTAGACTCTAAGTTAAGCTCATCTCTTTGCTTGATAATGAGAAGCAAATTTTCAACAGTTCCCCAAATAGAAAGACGCGGCAGCCTGTGAGAGTTTCTTATTTTCCTTCTAACTTCACCAAACATCTTCAGTGTGATTGGTGCACGGGAAGTTCTGGCACCAACCTTTCTCCTGCATTTTCCTCGATCGCTTTGAGACATGTTTAGCTGATTAAATTTTCCATCAGCCAAATTGCTCCTCAATGAAGCACCCCGATTGGGGTTGGTACGCCTAACAAAATTTATAGAGCTAGAATTTGCAACAGCAACAACTACCGTCTCTGCGTCTGTGCAAAACTCCTTATCATTGGTGCAGAAAGTTGATGGCTTTCTAAGGGAATCAAGAGAACTTATATTGGTATCAAGCTCAGATGTGCCTATTGAACAACATGCAAAAGAAGTGGACGGATATGATAGCTTCTCCAAAATAGATCTTTCTACCGCAGAATAATCTGTTCGTTCACTGGTTGATCCTTGTGCTGAACAACTAGGTTCATGCTCAACAATAGTGGACCCTAAAATCTCTTCCTTGGCTATTTGTTTTTTATGCGAATGAGCAAAGTGATTGATTTGATGAGTCTCTTTCAGCTTTCTAGCATACTGTAGAGGCAAAACCCGACCATTCTCTAAGCTGAACAGTTGTGTTTCCTCTTTTTTCCTGTCAACCAAGTTAGCTACATCACCACTGCAACTGTTAGTGTTTGACTTGAACGAATCTACATTAGACAAACTTCCATTTTTCCCTTCCATTGGACCACGGTTTGATATTTCAGAAGAAATCAAACACTCGTTGGATGGAGGTAGACAACAAAATCCATCTCCTAGTTTAGTCAAATTTCCATTAACGTCCACCAGAGGGCTATCAACATCTACTCTTGAAGAAAAGAGAAAGTTCTCACAACCAATGCAACCTCTACCATCCTCAAACATCCTGGACATGTACCCTGCTTCAACTTCAGTGCCAATATTGGAAGAACTCATCACACAATCTCCTCTCAAGGGAGACAGCCCAGGGAAGTCATCTTGCTCATCCTCGGCAACTACACCTGATGCCTGTTCTTCCACATTTTTGTATTCTTCCTTGATAAATGCCTCTTGTGCCTCAACAAACTTCACAAGCTCTAAGGAGTTACTTCTGCTCCCCACCTTATACTCCAAACCCAAGCAAGACGGCATCCCCGACTTTAATACAGACTCTGAATGAGAATCGCTGAAATAACTCTCAAAACCCATCAAATAGCAGCCATTGTCTGAAGCTGGCAAGGCAATGCTACCCTTGCCATCTCCCCTATCCATTGAGAATTCCCCGCCCCCTTCTTCCCTACTAGAAAAGAAACGGCTTCCCAAATTCCCGCCCTAACTTCTCTCGCCGGATGGAGCAGCAATCCACGCATGGATCCTCATCCAACCTCCAGATCACCACAGAAATTCACCTTGCCCTCCAAAAATTAATCCTAAAAATTAAACACAGAAAAACAAACCAATGCCTGTCAGCACAAAACCTAGTTTCCCCGTACCACCAAGAACATGTAAAGCAATCCTCAACAAACAAAGCAAATGCTCAATATAAATTAAAACCAGTCAATCATCAAACCAGAAAGAACGCCAGCAGCAGAAAAATATAAAAAATTAAAAACTAAAAAAGAAAAAAAAAACAATAAATCAACAGAACAAGAACCGACGGTCCATCAATAGGATCAAAACCAGGTTGAAGCCGACAAAGAAAAATGAAGATTCGGGGAGGGAAGATAAACCTTGAAAGGAAAGACGGATCTGCTGCACTGCTTCGTTCCCAAAGCTGGGAAGCAACCTGAGGCGAAGGGCTTCACCCTCCGCTTCTTCCTCTTCTCTAGACCGCCGAAGGGTTTGCAGTTCTGCGTAGTCATCGGGGTGCCATCAATTCGTGTTTATAAATAAAATGTAGTCAATTTAATTTGCAGTTATAAATAAAATATTTTACTTGGGCCGGAAATGTAATTTATTCCACTTTTCTAAAAAAACAATACTGAAAATGTCTTAGATGCGGAAATTCATACGGTCACTTTCTTTAGAGATGCATGCGGTGCCGATCTCGGAAAGAAGTATTTCAGTAGACATCATTTTTAACTTTTTTTTTTTTTTTAGTTTGATTGTGGTTATCAAATGTTAAAATCGACCATCACATATATCTCTGCATGCGACTTTAAAAATTATTGGAGATATATATAAATAAAAAATTCTACAACTTGAATTTGTAAATACATTAGAATTGTGTAATTTATATGTAAACTCCTGAATTTTTGTGAAAACGATGGTGTTAGAAATGGAAATATAAAATAATTGAAGGGTATGTAAATGGCCTACTTAGAAACTCAAAATTTTGACTTTTATAGCCTCTACACTTTTAGTATTTATATAAGGCTCTTTCTAGTTTTACTTTAACTAAATCCCAAAATCAATGAGAATTTTGACTTTATATGTCAAAAAATATCAAATTTAAGATAAATATATCTTTCTAATTATTTTATTAGATAAATAAGCCTAAAGTTTTATTCCACATTTTAATAAATTTAGTTGAAATATATGATAATAATTTATATGACCATTCGATCATATGAGCTACTCAACCCCTTTTGCTATGTACACCTTCATTTTTAACAATTGTTGTGCGCAAGTGTTTGATGGTGCTGAATCCAACATCAACCTCTATATTTCTCATATGTGAAAATGTAGTAATGTTATATGTTTGATTATTTGTGATTAATTATTTCATGTGAACAGACTCTAGAATTTAACTTGTTTTCTTCTTCACCTCTGCCCCCTCCCCAAAGTGAAGAGAGAGACTCATTTTATAGATTTTTCAGAAGGGGGCATTTTGATCTTTTTGACGCATAACTTTCATAATCATCAAATCTACGATTCATATTGATACATTTTATCATACAACATTTTTTTAATGACATTGGAATTTTGTGACCTTATGCTCGTTAGATTCCTGTCAACGAGACATTCCATTCAACTATGAATATGTCAAATTTATAGTTCATTTGATCGTTCAATTAACAATCCAAAGCATCAAGTTGTGCTTCAATATCTTCATCTAGGTTTGGTTGGACCCGAATTCAACCAATTTTAGTCAATGGGTACGTCTTGCTGATATCTCTACTTTTGATTATAAGTTTGATCAAATTGAAGCTTGGATAATCATGAATCTATATTTGAAAGAACTCTTACCAAAAATGCATTGAGATTTATACTTGATACTATAATTTTTGCAATATAACAAAGTTGATGGTGATGAATCATTTAAATTCATCACATGATTCTACTAAACCTTTTAAAGTTAAAATTATAAAGAAGAAATTGATCACAATAATTTTTTGAGATAAATTAAGAAAGATAATAGCGGCGTAGAGGGAGAAAGAGAGGGCACAAAGATGGTAAAGGTGAATGAAATAAATTTACGTAGAAGACAAAAGGTAAGAAGTGCTAGAGATATCACTTCATGTATTGCAATTACATAAAGAGGTGATATGCAATCACTAAGGTTTAAAATAACCGCACAACTGAATAAAATAAAGGAACAAAGTGCTAAAATAGTCCCACTATTATTTTAGAATTGAGTTCTGATAGTTCTTTGTGGGGACTTTTTCAGACCCAATTTAAGGAGTTTGTGGAATATTTTGACACTATGCTCTAAAATAAAGCATATGTTTGAAAATTTCATTGATTTGTTCATGGATCTATATGACTTTGATTCTCTTAGGCCAATTAATAGAGCCAACTCTCTTTCTTTCAAGTCTTTGATGCCAACGCGAGTAATCAATTTTAAGAAATTTGAGATTTTAATGTTCAGCTTAAATTGGGTCGGTGAGAAATATTTCGCTATATTCAAAAAATAAAAAAGTGTATGTTATTTATAATAACTTGATTTATATTTTGCAGCGTATTTTTTTTGGTTGATTATATTTTATTGAACAACAAACAATATTAGAGTACTTGACAATATAACTTCAAAAGTTAAACTACATGAATGACAACTCAAAACAACAATTTTTTTAAGGTAGTTTTCTTAACTAATATATTTATAAACATTATCTTTTTATCTAATTAACTAACTATTATAAAGATATTTTATTATCTATTTATTTCTAGTGCGATCAGAACAAAGCTGGAAGGAAAAACTCTTTCTCTCTCTCTCGAGAAAATATTGCATAATTATTAAGTATATACTTACAAAGAGCGGCATAATTATTAAATGGAGTGGCGGTCAAGTCATTAATGGGTGAAATTATGATGACTTGACCATTTCATCCAAACTTGCTCGTACATACATATACTTATTAAATATGCAATATTTTCTCCTCTCTCTCTCTCTCCGAGCCAAAAAAAAAAGAAAAAAGAAAGGGACATGGATATTTTCAACGTATATATTTGCAGGCCTTCATGATTCTTAGCTTTATTATTTAATGAATATACTTCCAAATTCAGGCATTTGTAACATTTTTTGGTTATTATTCTATACTTATTAAATTTACATTTTTCCTGCTAATAAAAAAAAATTTAACATATATTTAATAATGTGTTATTAATTTATTATAGCAAAATCACATCGTGAACGGAGCCACAACGAACACACACAAGAGAAATATTTGCGTACGGAATACGCACACAGCTTTGCAGAGCTGCGTACTCAATTAACCCGATAATACCTTTGTAATAACCTATGAATAACATCAAAATAGAACTCGTACAGATTATTTGAAGGTTATTGTGTTTATATGTTATTAAAATTAATAATTTAATAACTTCCTAATAGCCCACGGAGGTTATTGAGAGGTTATTACGCACAGAGCTCTGCATGCATCGTCTGTATGCAAATATTGCCCCACACAGTTAGTCATATATAATTATCTGGGTGATAGAATTAAGATTTATCTATTTTTATCCTAGTAAAATAAATAATAATAATATCACGCAAATTTTCTAAAAATATTATATGGGTAAAATTCATTTTGATCAGCTTACATCAGAAATCTTTTTTTTTTATAATTAATTTTGTATATTTATTTATTTATTATTATTATTATTAATAAAAAATACAGTCTTTGCTTAAAGGCCGAAGAACTCGTATAAAGAACGATAAGAATGCTTTCGAAGAGCACAATTACAAGAAGATGAAATCATAATAAGACTGCCGTCTTTTTTTATCTTTTTTTTTTTCTTCCATATTCCTTTTATAGATTCAACAAATTAACTTTTAAATTTTTAATTTTATAAATTAAGAAAATCAATGATATATACACAAATCTCCCTAAAATTTATAGCTGAAGTAAAAAATAATAAAGGTAAAATTTATTAAACATTAATGAAATTACTATAAACTAATCAGATATTGATGGTTAATTAAATGCTTTAGAGATTAATCATCAGGTTTGTTTAAGGTGCGTACCACACAATTCTTATGTATTTACATATCTAACACCTAAAATTTGATATTTACCCTCAATTCTTTTGCATCATAAACCTATACATAAAATAAAAAAGTGTATTTCACTTTTAAAAAATAGCGGTGCTAGTGTTTTTGATGTGATGTTAAGAGTTAAGTGGTATCGATATAAATGCGAATGTTTAAGTGTTAGATATGTAAATACATAAGCATTGTGTGGTATTTAGCAAATGCTCCTAAAATTATGGTGTCTTCCAATGTTGATATTCTTTCTATTTTATTCACTCTCAGAAATAAAACACACTATTATCACCATCTAAAAGCGAGGTACATATTTTCATGCATAATTTTAATGCGCCAAAATGTTATATATATGTAACTATAAAAGTTTCAGAAAGTTTAGATGGGAGATATGTAAATACATAAGAACTGTGTCCTACTTATGTAAATTTCCCAAAAGGACACAAGCACCCTGATGCACATTTGTTTCACTTGGTAACTATCTGACATGAAATTTTTCTAAGAAATGAAAGCTCTGATGAAATATACATAATATAAACAAGGAACATAGAAAAGCAGACCTCTTGACGCTGAATCTCTTTAGGAAAAATGCTTTTTGTTCTTCAACTGATACAGGGAATGCTAAGGCAACCCATCTGAAGTAATCTGGGAAGTATCTGCAAATCCAAAAAGAATAACAGAAAAAAAAAAAAGAAGCAAAATGGGGGCTATATGAAGAATAACAAATAAAAATTTAATAAGGGAAGCCAACCTACCTCCCCTACTCGGGCATTGATTTTTAAAGGAACAAAATCATCAGCTCTGGTTTCGCCGATGTTGACGATTGCAACATCAGCCTTTGCTTCATAAGCAGCTCTGTGAAAATAAGATTTAAATCACAATTACGCCGTGTTTGGCGGCAACCTAGTTTTCGTTAAATAGAATATTTGTCCCGCAATAAGATATAATACATCCAAATTTACATCTTAAAAGAGACGAAACGAGTAAAACACAAACGAAAGGCAAGAAATTTTGATTTAACGGAGTGTTGGTTTTTTTTTTTTTTTTTTTTTTTTTTTTTTTGGTGTTTGGCTGGATTCACCTTAAATCCATGCTAAATCTTTTTAAAACTATGCTGCTAAACACCCCCTTATTCCTCAAAAAGTATGAATTTAATTGCATTATGTGTTAAATTCTAGGATTTATGCTGAGATAGTTTGATTCGAATCTCAAAGGTTATTAGTTCATCATTTGTTTCATATCATTTTATCAGTCAATCTGCAACTTAACTCACACATTGCATTGATATCTTATCATGTTAGATGGCGACTACAGTAATAAGGGGTACCTGGGGCGTATAGAAACATAAATTCAAAATTTTCTCAATCTTGAATTTTATTGCAGTGTAATTTTAGAAAATGTGTGATTTTTCTCAATCGTGGATTTCTATGCAGAATGTTTTATCAGGTGCTCACTAAATTACTATTTGCGCAAATGTTGAGTGCTTTATCATTTACATCAGCAAGAACAAATATTTGCATCAATGTTATACAAACGGAGTTGGACACTTGGACTTGTTCAGGTACTCAAAAATCCAACTGCAGAACATAAAGAATCTCAGCAACATGCAAATTTTAGGGGCATTTACATAAATACCACAAACCACTTGTACGTTTACATATACAACACCAAAATATTCATGTATAAATGCACACCACTCAAATCTTTAACATCATATCAAAAATACCACCATAACTACCTATTTAAAAGTGAAAGACACCATTTCATGCATAGATTTATCATACCAAGGTGTTATAAATATAAATATCAAAGTTTGAATGTTAGATATATAAATACATAAAAATTATGTGGTATGTATGTAAATTTCCCTAAATTTTAGTGGCACGCAAAAGCAGGCCCAATTATTGCGAAAATATGCAGCAGTTTGTCCACAGTAGAGAAGTACTTCTCAGTGAACAAGCGACCCAGTAGCAAAAAGTTGAATATACCAACGCTGAGATGATGATGAAGATTTACATAAATACCAACAAAGGTTTCATAAATGTACCTTACAAGCCTGAAAGCCGACATTGTCATTAGTGATGAACCCAGCACAAGAAAAGCATCTGATGATTTTGCAGCTTCCATTGCTTTGTCAGCTCTGTCTTTAGGGACATTATCACCAAAAAACACCACCTTGTAAAGAAAATTATTCAATTCAAAATTAGCAATAATATATCAAAGTGCAATGACTAATCATTATCAAATAGAAGCTGCACTCAAATATCAAGCAGGTAATTCATTTATTTTTTTCTCAAATAAAGATGGAAATTAAACTCTTTAATATTATTTTAAAAATTAAAAGAATGCCTAAGGTGTGGTGGAAGAGTATTTTGGTCCCCATTTTTAAGAATAAAGAGAACGCACAAGGTGTGCAAATTATAGATGAACTAAGTTGATATGTCATACTTTAAATTATAGAAAAAGGTAATTGAACATAGGTTAAAAAATGATACAAAGGTTTCTCGTAATCAGTTTGGATTTATGTCAAACAGGTCTACTATGGAAGCTATACATTTATTTATAGGTTTGATGGAGAAGTACAGAGGGAATAAGTAGGATCTATATATGATTTTTATTGATTTATAAAATGCTTACGATAAGGTTTCAAGAGAAGTCCTTTGGAGAGTTCTGGAAATGAATGTGTTGATTTGACTTATATTCAAGTCATTAAAGATATATATAATAGAGGTGTTACTTGTGTTCGAACAGACAAGGATTGACCAAGTATTTTCCAATTTGAATTGAATTACATCCGAGATCATCTTTAAGCCCTATGTTTTTTGGTTTAGTTATGGAAGATCCTACTTGACATTTTCAGGAGAATGTACCTGGTGTATGTTTTTTGTGATGATATCTTTCTTGTGGATAAGACTAGAGAAAGAGTTCAGTAAACACTTGAGAAAACTTGAATTACAGAGGTCTATTTTTGAGTCTAAAGGCCTTCGTTCGAGTAGAACTAAAATTGAATACATGGAATGTAATTTTAGTAGTAGTAACTTTAGTGGTACAGTTGTAACTATGAGTTATCAAATTATTAAAAGGTGTGAACATTTTAAATATTTCTAGTCTACTGTTCAAAGTGAAGGTGATATAGATGGGGATGTTATTAGTAGAGTTCAGGTTGGTTGGTTGAAATAGAGAAATGCTTCAGGGCTATTGTGTGATAGAAAAGTACTGCTTAAACTTAAAGAAAAATTTTATAAGATGTTGGTGGGACCTGCAATGCTCTATGGCGTAGAATGTTGGCCTTAAAAGAGAAGCATAAAACAAAGTTTAAGTGTTGCTGAGATGAGAATGCTTAGATGGATAAGTGGCTTGACACTTAGAAACAAAACGCGAAATGAATATATCCGTGATATGGTTGGAATAGCTCTAGTGCTGGACAAGATTAAGGAGAGTCCTGGAATAGCTCTAGTGCTGGACAAGATTAAGGAGAGCCCTCTCAGTTGGTTTGGTCACATTAAACGTCGACCATCTGACAATCCAGTTAGGAGAGTAGATGTTCTAGCTTTGACAGATGTTAAGAAAGACAGAGGTAGACCTAAAATGACTGGGCATATTGTATAAAAAATGATCTTAAACTATTAGAATTAAATGAAAATATGACACTCAATAGGACGCAATGGAGAAAAATGATTCATGCAGCCGACCCCACTTAGTGGGATAAAGGTTCATTGTCGTTGTAAATATGGAAATTAAACATCTCTTTGAGTTATCAATCTGTATCGATATTTTGAGAATTGCTTCCTCTCTTAAAAAGAATGTGATTTATTCTTTGTGATTTTGCCAATGCAAACTGGTCAATTATACTGAAATTAAGTTAGCCAAAGTCATCATAAAAAAGACCAACTTGATTGGGGGATCAATTTTGTTTTTTTTTCTTTTGCTTTGACTATTTTCACAAACAACTAATAATATTATAACATAATAAATATATTTCATTTTAAGCAAAAATACAAACAAAACAAAACAAAAAAAAATCAAAAGTGAGACCCAACAGGCCCCTATTTTTGTTTTATGTTTTTTATTTGTTATTTGCTATTTTATTTTATTTATGTTTTAGTTTGAAACAAAATAAGTTTGATATGTTTGATTAAAATATGATTTATATTTTAAAATACTCATAATGTTTAAAAGTTGTTTTGAATATTTTCAAAAATATGTTAATTTATTTTAAAAATAAAAATAAGGACAAAACCCACTAAATAAACAAATTTTTAAAAAGAAAAAAAACAAAAATAAAAATAAAAATAATAAAACAAGTCCCAAATGTTGACTCCTATCCTCGGTCTAGAAAGAGATGCTTACATCAGGTTTTAGCATTCCACCACATTGATGACAATCGGGAATAATAAAATCCTGCTCCCAGTACTTCTCATCAATTTCAATGTCACCATCAGGCCTTTGTTGCATGCCAAAGTTCTTATCTGAACCCGGAGCTCCAACCTCCAATCCTTCAACAGCAGCAGCCCACTGCAGCAAATATTGATCATCATCATGTATATATAGAGCAACAATGCTAGAAATAAAATCAGAACATTGATTCACATCAACTATGGTTAATAATGATAAGAAGTAAGAAAGTAAATATGTACATCAAGGTTAAAATGAGCCATGCGCAGTTCCTAGATTAATAACTAAAGAGAAAAGTGTAAAAATAATCCCTGACTTTGCAGGACATCATTTAGTTCTTGAGTCTGTAGAAGTGTTGATTTAGTCCTATAATCTTTTAATACGGGCTGAAATAGTCTCCGTGGGAACTATTTCAGCCCAAATTTAAAAAGTTTGCGGACTAGTTTAACATTTTAATAGACTTTGGGATTAAAATGGCCCCATATATATAGTCAAGGAACTATTTTTGACACTCTACTAGATAACTAAATGCACCAGCATGGTAACGGAAATCATGTGTATATTACAATAGACATCTGTCAAATCCAAATGGAAGCAACAAAGCAAATACCATGAACTAAAGATGCAGCACAGCACAAGCTCCGCATAACTTTCAAACAGTTGTGATTTGTTTAAACATCCAACAATTAACAATGGCAAATAGATCAGTTTGGTTGGCCTGAATGATGGTAATAATTAGTTCAATATTGAACATCAAAGACGAGCATGTAGTCTGGGACACTTGATAGAGAGGAGAAATAAGATCAGTTTCCAATGCAGTTTCAATGTATGAAAATATAAAATGTAATAAAAATGTCAAAAAAACCCAGAACACCAATGCTCTCTGGAATACCTTCACATATTCGGGTATTCTTTTAAGTCTTTGTTCAAGCCCAAACTGCCTTTCCTCAAACACACGCGCGAGAGCTTGAATTTAGTGAACAAGAACGAGAGAGAGAGAGAGAGAGAGAGAGAGAGAGAGAGCAATGCAGACAAAATTATATGGAGAGAAGTCGGGAGAAGAATTCATTTTATTCACCGTTGGGCTCCCTATTTATAAGAGTCTGCTTACATAGTTATGGAAAGGAGAGACGAATATGGAAACCGTCTTCAATACAATTAATGTGCTAATTAATACCAGAGTTACATTATAACTGGAATGAGGTACGACGACGATTGGCAGATCGGCGTGCTTCGGCTCGGTAGGCCGAAGTGATCGGGTGCCTGGTCACTCCTGCCAAGGAAGATCAGTCGACAAGCCCCGATCGATAGGCCTTTTATGAAGCCTCGACAGTGGGAGCCGTAAAAAAGTCCGCTAGATGGATCCATCAGTGCTAAAAGTCAATTGACTCGATCAGATTGTTGGTCTTCAAATGACTGGTTCGGATCAAGCTCCTTGAATTCAATGCTTTGATTGTTGTTCGGCCGATTTACTCTTTACTAAGACATCATCGACATATACCTCAACATTTTTCCTTTTTGATTTGAAATAATACATTCATGAGACGTTGGTAGGTCGCCCTAACATTTTTTAGCCCGAAGGGCATTACGTTGAAGCAAAACACTCCCTATGCGGTAATGAAGGTGGTTTTCCTTGCATCGGTTGGATGCATCTTTATTTGATGACAGCCTGAGAATACGTCGAGAAAGGTCATTACTGAGTAGCCGATTGTGGCATCCACCAGAGTCTCCATCCTTGGTAGGGGGCAAGTATCTTTCGAATAGGCGATGTTTCGATTAGTGAAGTCGACACACATCCACACAATTACTACGTTTGAGAGCCAGGTAGGATATTGTACCTCCCGGATGTAGCCTGCCTCCCTCAATTTTTGGACTTCCGTTGTTATCGGTTTGACCAAAGCAGGATCAGAGTTTTCTGTTGTATTGGCCGAGAAAACGGTCGGATATTGAGCTGATGACATGCGATGTCACTCGAAACTCAAATCATCTCCGCGGTTGTCCGAGCGAAGAAATCCCGGTGTGTGCGAAGAGTTCGGATCAGTGGATCCCTGTGTCCTGCATCAAAGCTTTCAATTATTAGAAAAATCTTATCGAGTTCCTTCACGTCGATTGCGAGCATCTAGAGGATGGTTTTATTGGACTCGAGACCCCCTTTCTTTTGTGTTTGAATGTCAAGCGGATTGTGGTCCACACTAGTAATCACTCGAAGGTAACAAATCCTCGACTGTTCTTGGTTCCCTAGAACAATGATTATCTCCCCATCTCCGAGAAATTTCACAACCATGTGATAGGTCGACACCATTGCTTGGTAGCTATCTAGCAGTGGTCGGCCAAAGATATCATTATAAGTTGAAGGGGATTCCAACACCAGAAAGTGCGACCGCTCATAATATTGTGTTGTCCATCGGTCAGGATGGTACCTCTGACACTTATTGCCCCGATTGCCTCCCCTGTTATCACGGGAGCGAAGATTATCGACCCATAGATTGTCGAGGGTCCGATGGCCCTTCAGCCTTTTTCTGTCACCTCGACCCTTTCGCTTTTGTGATCGATGGTCGGACGATTCTGGTTTGGTTTCTTAGGAGAACTTAAGGTTTTCCTCAGCAACAATGTAGTCATTAACTAACTCCAAGACCTCCACGAAGGTTCTTGTTTTGAATAGGTTCAGGTCGTACTTGAATCGCTTGTTGTGGATTCCCTGCTTTAGGGCAATCTGAGCGATGAGGGGCTCCAGGTTTTCTAACTCCAATATTTCTCTCTAGAAATGAGTGATGTAAGTTCTCAGACTTTCATTCTCTCCCTACTTGATCTGGAGCAGGGTTTATATAACAAATTAGCAAAATGAGCTAGGAAAAGCTTTTGGAACTCGAAGAAGGATGTGATGATTTTGTCTAACAGATTGTTAAACCACTGGAATGTGCCTTCTTGAGTGTAGTCAGAAAGAGCCGATACTTCATGGCATCATCGATCTGCAGAACTCCGACCAATGACTCGAAAGAAGCTAGATGGTCGACCGAGTCACTCTTCCCTCTATAAGGATCAAAGTGATGAATTCTCAGTGTCGTTGGAGGTACGATTTCCAGGATTCTACGGGAGAAAGTGTTGTCTGTAGCTGGTCGGGCAAGCGCTCCTAGTCGATCGACCCGGAATTGGACTACCGGTGTAGATGTGTCTGTCAGTTGGGAATCCCCCGGCTCTTCGGTTGGTCAATCACCGACCTGACCGTTGGGCGCTGGTAGATTGTCGAGGGGAGCTCCCTGGGGAGAGTTTATCGAGATTCTCTCTCCAAGGGTGGCGGTAGAATTTCTGCTGAGTCATGGTCGCCCAGAGAGCTTCAAAATAGTCCATTATTTGCGCTCGCAACGCCTGGACCTCCTCCTTTATGCCGCGACGTACAATCTCTCTATTGAATTCCATGGATATCATGTCTCTCTGCGAGGATTCTCCGTCATAATTTACTCCGTTTCTCATCTGTGACATGTCCACGTTCACTGCACTATCTTTTAAGGTGTTAAATCCCAAATTACGTTTCGCAAACACACGCCCCAAGAGTTAGAGCAGAGCGAAGGAGAACTAGAGAGGTAGAGAAAGAGCACTGCAGACAAAATTTTATGGAGGGGAGTCGGGGGAAGAAGTCATTTTATTCACCGTTAGACTACCTAATTATAGCTTACATAGTTATGGAAAGGGGGGATGGTTATGGAACCCGTGTTTAATACAATTAATGTGATAATTAACATCAGATTTACATTATAATTAGAAACAATCGGTGGATCAAAGTGCGTCAGCTCGATCGGCCAAAGCGAATGGTTGTGTGATGGTCACTTTTACTGAGGTAGATCAGTCGACTAGTCACGATAGGTCGGCCTTTTAGGAAGCCTCGATAGTGGGAGCCAAAAAAAAAGTTTGTCGGTTGGATCCATTAGTATTGAAAGTTGATTGACTTGATCAGGTTTTTGGTCTTCAGATGACCAATTCAGATTAAGTTCCTTGAATTCAATGTTTTGATTGTTGAGTCATCATCCTTAGTCATCTGATCACTTTTTGATTCGTCTTGAAAATTTTGGTGTATACAGTGTTAAAAGTCTTTAAAAGGCTCATGGGTACCTTTCATGGACAAAATCCAGATGGGATAAAATTGTGCTCATCAATTTCACGTGTATTATTAGTATTGTTTTCTAGAAAGGTGATGATAATAGGCCATCTTAACCTTATCAAATTTAAAAAAAATTGTAGCAAAAAGCAAAGGTGCTTGTGGACTGAAAATCCTCACCGGCTTTACTCACATTGAAGTAACTCTTGGTTGACTTCTCATAAGATATATTGGATATTTGATAAAACAATACTCATAAATTACACCCTCTAACAAAGAAAACATGATTTAATAATATATTTTGATGACTAAATTGTTGTAAGACAAGTTGGTCAATCACGCATGCATATGTGACAAGTAATATATAGATTTTAGAGTAATTATATCGATCCTACGAGAAAAGGGTCAAAAAGGTTTCTGACGGGGAAGCTCTAGTTTACTAAACTACTGACCCGAACTTGACGTGATCTCAAGTTCAAGAATGAAGGTCTATAATTAACGCAACAAAAAAAACAAAGTAGACAACAAGAAAGAGAACAACAGAGAGCAAAGAGTTTTTAGTGTTCATCAAAGTAAGAAAAATGTTTCTGTGACTCAAATGTAATGTTCTCACGCCTTGTTTCTATGAATTCCCCTACGTGATAGTTGTTAATCATGGATAACGTTCTTATTAGCCAGTGTCTAGGTTATAAGAGCAGTTATAAACCATATTACAGTTAAGCGGGACTTTAACATGCAGCGTTTCTCGTGACTCTGCAGATCACCTATATAAGTTGCAATTACCTAATGACAATATGTCTATTCCACTAGGTTAACATGTGTTAACTCACTCGTTCCACTATGCAAGATGTAGAAGTCCTACATCACAAGAATCTTTAACATCCTAATTGGTCAGATCATGAGTAAATCATAAATCAAAAGCTAACACAATAACATAAATAAATCACAAATAAAAGAACGTTTACGGAAAAAATCAATAAGAACACAACGAGAAGCATCAAAAACATCACAGAAGGATGAAAGAGAT